ATATATCTAGTTGCATATATTTAGGGTGTCACCTATATTGTTATAACCTCAAATAATAGTTGTTTATTTTTAACCAGTTACAAAGTAATCATTTAAAAGACTTTAAAACAGGTACAAATCCTAATTCCTTTTAGACTTAGTTTCCCCAAGTATGAAAGCCTAACAGATAAAAGAAAATTATATTGATAGATAAAAACAGATAAACATTTCAGACTTTTCTTCATATCAGTACATTAAAGTTCAAATAACTTTGACTGTGGTAATTATAGCCAATTTACTCACAGAACAAAACTTTTTGAGATTTACCTTACACAAACCTTCTGCGACTTACTTAGACATCACAACTTTTTTACATCTGTAGTTTTGTCCTCTCTTTCATCTTGGATTTTACAAAAATATTACTTTACCAGACAAAATATGTTCTCATCCAGAAACATTTCTTTTATCTTCTGATTTTCCATACTGAAATATATTTCCATAACTATAACTTTCGTTTTTTTTTCTAGCCTTGGACCCTTTCTTAAATTCATATTCTGAAATAATGCTTATTAATGTTATCTGTGAATTAATTTACACAAATTTCATCCCAGGAGAGGGTTGGACAGTCCAGGATCAACCAATTCCAGGTTGCATGCAAGGGGTTGGAGCACAGGATATTTTTGAGCCTGACCTGTCTCCCTTATCATTATCACAATGCCAGTAACTGCGAGTTCCCCACTGTCAGTTGTACCCAGAAGCTCCTTTGGGCCTTTTTCTTACATTAGACGTATTGTTATGCAGGCTTTTTCCTTGAGGATCCCTTTGCAAAGGCTGCCAGCAAAACAGGGGTTGGCCTTTCTGCTTTTTCTTTTCTGGGTGCAATAGTTTATTCTGTTAATTTCCCTGTGCATTTAGTTTGATGGGATACTGTTATGGCAAGAATTGCTTTGCCCCAGTGATGGATCTTCTCTGGCTAAGTGTTGTGTCAGATCTTAAAAGGGGGAAATGATTCCTATCCTCAGGTCATAAACTAACAGTGCTAGAATCTACTGCCACATCCTTTGTGGCCAGCAGCAACCCCCTTCGCCCCCCGCCCCCTGCTCTTTGCCCATTTTTCTACAGCCCAGGCAGCTTTTCTGGGAGTTCCAGGAAGCAAAAGGAGCTTTGGCAGCTGCTGGGATGATCCCTCAGTTCCTCTCTTTACTCAAAGGAATAGCTCCTCTGGTTTGATCCAAGGCAAACTCAATTCATCTCCTAACTCTCCAGCAACTGGCTGTCAACAAGTTCTCCAGCCACCTTGCATCCTCAGCATGGAAGTGGGGTTACTTGGAGAGTCATGCCTAATAAAGTAAGGTGGAGCAGGAGCTGCTCTGGGGTCCCACCTGGGGTGCCAAATTTGTTACCGAAAGTCCAGTTCTTGTCCCCATGTCAGTCCAGTACAAGGACATGGTTTTGAGGAAAAGGAAAAAGAAGTTATATTTTTTTACTAGCAGAAGAGAAACACAGGGACTCCTATCCAGAGGCTGAGATTCTCTGAAACTATAATTTCAAAGCATGCACATCTTTATAAAATGTTTGATGTTTAGGTATTTTATTGTCTAATATACAGAGCAAGTTTGATGCTGGGTAATGTATACTGGTAAATCATATTCACTATGTATAATTAGTGAGTTCACAGTCTACCAATAATCCATCCATGTTAATATTCCTCATGTTTTTCTTCTCTTTCACACTTGGCTCCCAATGTCATTCTGATTGCCCATTTAATTTAGGGAACTTTGCTATATCAGGCACCATATAAACTGAAATGTTACATTGTTGAATGTTTTACAAGCACTCAGAGTTTGTAAAATGTCTGTTTGCTGTTTGAAAAGGCAGTGCAACTACTCAGGCGTTAGGTTTGCTCATTATTCATGCAGTTTGGTATCAGCATCTTTTCCTAGCTCTCTGCATTTTAATGACGTTTTGATGCCCCACAGTTATTTGAGCTTGTATTCCTAAACTAAATGGTAATATTTGGAAGGAAAAGTCTTTACGGTTTTGCTTAGGATAGCTTGGTTTAGTCAGCTTTCTCGATGCTGTGACTTAAAGACCCAGCCAGCACAATTATAGAGGAAAAGTTTATTGGAGAGCTCGAAGTTTCAGAGGTTGACAGAGGGCTCCATTCCTCAGGGCTMAAGGTGAGTCAGTTCATCATGGYTGGAGAGTGTGACAGGGAAGCAGCTCATATCATGGTGATCAGGAAACAGAGAGACTTTACTCGCCAGATCCAAGTATATACCCCAAAGCCAGTTCCCACCTAGTTCCCACCTCCTTTAGCCCACACCCTATCACCTCAATTACTACTCAGTTAATCCCAATCAGGGGATTAAATCACTGATTGGGTCAAGGCTCTCATAACCCAGTCATTTCTTTCATTGTCTCACCTATGAGCTTTTGGGGGACACCACATCTAAACCCTAACATAGCTTCTGGTTCTTTATCTGCTGGTACTCTCCCTGTTCTTTAAATTAAAAATCAGAAAGTAACACGCTTTGAATTTGCACTTAATAGCATTATTTAATGTTCATAGTGTCCTTTTGAGTCTAACTTTCACAAGTTCTTTGATCTTTATCTTAGTAAAAATGAAGTTGTAACAAGAGGAGAGAAAGGTCAAATGGATAAAATAATGGGTCTTTGTTTTGAACTTAGTGTGTCCTTTTTAAAACTATGAAAAATCCGGAATGAAGTTGCAGTTTACTGTGGCCAGAAGTATCCTTCTTATTTATTTAATTGACATAATCAAGCCTTTGTATTAGTTTATCCATAGATGACAGCTAGAAAAAATAGGGGGAACAGAGACATGGGAAATTGACTGGGTAACACAAGGTAAACAAATAACAAATCATTTAAAATTTTAATGTAGTTACCTGAATATGAAAGTAAGTTTCAGAAGTGACTACTTATGCCTGTGTAGTCACTAGCATTTTTGTTCAGTTAATTGCTCTTGGATTCAGCAGTGAATTTATGCCTATTTAAATCCCTAAAATGCAGGCAATTCATAACCTTCTGAAAAGCTATGTGAAAAACTAAATAAAGAAAGTGAGAAGGTGGTTCTTCAGATAATAAGGTAATGGATATGAAAGGAGTTTGAAAAAGTGACAGCTCTTACTGTTCCACTGAAAAACTTCTTTAATTAATGCCTGGGTCCTTCAAAGTCTTTCTACATCTACACATCTACTCTAACATTAGTTATCCAGTTCCTTCCTTCATTCTTTTTTTTTTTTTAAATATCTTTATTTTTTTTATGTGGTGCTGAGAATTGAACCCAGTGCYCCACACATACTAGGCAAGCACTCTACCTCTGAGCCACAACCCCAGCCCCCTTCCTTCACTCTTATCCCTTGCTATTAGTAAGCCTCTTAGAATATTTCATTCCTTGTCATGAAGACAACCAGCATTGGCCCTGGAATCAGGTAGACTTGAACCTAAATCCTCCTTGGCAGTTTATAAACTTGTGAGTTTGGACAAGTATGTTAGTATTTCTGAATTTTGGTTCAGCTATGTAAGATGGAATGAAATTTACCATCATATAAAGTTATAAAGATTAATAATAAGGATAAAATGCCAAGTCTGGTTCCTATCCTGTAAATGCTCAAATTTTGTGTTTCTTTTCCTTCCTTACCTAGCTATGGATTCCTTTTATAAGACAGAAAACCTATTAGCTCACTTACCTTTCTCATTACTTCGTCCCAGACAATATAATTATGCTAGGAGACATTTTGTGTAGTATAGAGTCATCTTTCTGCCCATTGCTTTTTAAAGTTAATAGATTTTTAGTCTAAACAGTTTCTTGTTTGATTGTAGTTGGTAGATTTTGACTTAAAATTTACACTCATTTGTGTATATATTCTTTTATTAATTATTGGGGGCAGGACATTCTGTTATTTTATCATGTTTACTAGGATGTCTATAAATATTTACTTTTGACATAATTAATAAAACTTTTGTACTCTGGGAGCTCTAATTCTAAGGCCGGAGTTGACTTGGCATTGAGCTTTTTAAATTAAAAGTTAACAAATTAAAGGCAATGTCATAAGGTACATTTTAAAAAATCAGTAAATGATTCAAAGGCATGTATTTTTCTTTTATTTGCATTTTTTATTGTTTTTACAGAATTTTATGTAAGTATAGTGAAAAGATAATGACCATATTGTATTTCCCTTACAGTTAGGACAAACATTTTATACTTTGCTCTCTATCTTTATGAAYTTATAAGAATGTTTCAGATTTATGAAGCAGTTGCTCATTGAAAGGACTTTGGTTGTTTCTAATTTTATGTTTTTGTATGTGTATTGAACCTTTTTGTCTTATAGTTTTGCATTATCTTTAAAATAAATCTGAGGGATTGAGATTAATAGATGGATCAACTTAATAAAGTCTTTATTCTTCTCATCCTGTCACTGACTGTAGTGTCTGTTTGTTATTGGATGAAAATTCTTTTGAGATAGTTGCTTAAAATAACAGCTGTCTCAGTCCTTACTCCCAGAAGAATTGTTTTTTTGAATGTTGTATCTTTATCCTTCCATGACTTAAATAATTAATTCCATTAATTATTAAAATATCCCAATTGATAAGGTCATGTGTGACCTTTTTTTWAAAAAAAACTCTATATTCTTATTTTAGAAAAAGGAGAATATAATGCAAAATGAAAAAAAAATTATTTTGTTTGTAATTTGAAAAATGCACTTGAGAAGTATTTTTTTCATACACACTCGCTTGGAGATCTAATTTTATTTCTTATAGACTTTTCTGTTGTTATCTATAGCTCAAGGTGATAAAAGTAATTATAAAAATGAAATAGTTTCAGCATAAAGTTATTGATTTAATTAGTATATTTAATGTTTGCTAAGAGTTCTGTAGGATTGATGAATAGCTTTTGAGTTTTTCTGCATGTAACTATTTAAGTATATTCATTCATGTGTTCATGTAATTACCCTTATTTAAACATGTTTAATCTCTCTTCTTTGTCTTTTTTTCAGATTCTATCAAATTTTAAGGACAAATGTACCTTATAGCTCATGGAAGAAAAAACACAAATCAAGACATTTTTGGGTTCCAAATTGCCAAAGTATGGAACAAAATCTGTAAGAAATACACAACCAATGCCAAACGGGACAGCTGTTAATTTATTAGGAACTTCCAAGAGTAGTAATGTCAAAAGTTACATAAAAAATAATGGCTCTGATTGTTCATTGTCCCATTCATTTAATTGGAGAAAAACAAATAAATACCAACTTACTGCACAAAATACTGAAGAGCCTAGCAGTTCTCAGAGTTCACTTGATAAATTAATTGATCCTGAAAAACATGCTTCCACTCAAGGAATGTTTGAAAAAAATGGGATAAAGGGAGGTTTGAAAAGTGTATCTTTATTCACATCAAAGTTGGCAAAGCCATCCACTATGTTCATGTCATCCACAGAAGAGTTAAATCAAAAGTCTTTTTCTGGACCATCTAATTTGGGTAAATTCACCAAAGGCACATTATTAGGAAGGACTTCATATTCTGCAGTCAGTGCTCCAAAATCGCAATTAAATGGATTTTATGGAAACCGATCAACTGGTAGCATGCAAAGGCCTAGAGCAAATTCCTTTGCCACCAGAAGCAGTTCTGGAGAAAGCTTAGCACAGTCCCCAGACAATATTAAATCTATTACTTGTGAAAAAATGGTAAGGTCTCAGAGTTTTTCACATTCCATTCAGAATCCATTCCTTCCACCTTCATCTATAACAAGGTCACATTCCTTCAACAGAGCTGTTGATCTTACAAAGCCTTATCAGAACCAACAGTTACCTATTAGAATGCCTCTACGATCAAATATGCTGACAAGAAATTCCCGACAATCAGAAGTACTCAATGGGAATGAACACTTGGGCTATGGATTTAATAGGCCTTATGCTGCTGGTGGAAAGAAGTTGGCTGTACCAAATGGTTCAGGTGTAACTTCCACTTTGGGTTATAGGTTGGTTCATCCCACTCTACTGAAATCTAGTCGACCTCCATTTTCTGGGACTATCGCAGTTGATAATAATAAAAATGCACCTGCTAACACTTGTGTAGAGGAAGAGGCTTCAGTTTTGGCTAAGGACAGTGTTACTAATAAGGACCAAGAGCTAATTGAAAATGAAAGTTATAGAACAGAAAACAACCAGACCATGAAGCATGATGCTAAAATTAGGTACCTGAGTGATGATGTGGATGATATTTCCTTGTCGTCTTTGTCATCTTCTGATAAGAATGATTTAAGTGAAGACTTTAGTGATGATTTTATAGATATAGAAGACTCTCATAGAACTAGAATAACTCCGGAGGAAATTTCTCTCAAAGAAAAGCATGAAAATTTACCATCAAAGGATATATTTGATTCTCCTAAGGAAAATGAAAAAACTTTCATTAAAACTGATGAATGGATCGATATAAGTGTCTCTGGTAAATATTATAATATCCTTAAATTATTTGCTTTTTAAAGATAATATAACTGATCTTACATTTAGGATTCTTTTCTTTTTTTATTAAATTATTTATTCTAATTTTTATAAATGATGGCAGAATGCAATTCATTTCATATTACACATATAGAGCACAATTTTTCAAGTCACTGATGGTATACAAAGTATTTTCACACCATGTGAGTCTTCATACATGTACTTAGAGTAATGATGCCTAACTCATTCCATCATCATTTCTACCTCCTTGCCCCCTCCTTTTTCCTCTGTCCCCTTTGCCCTATCTAAAGTTCCTCCATTGAAGTTGGAGAATATAATGCTAGGTGAATCAAGCCAATCCCAAAAAACCAAAGGCCGAATGTTTTCTTTGATATGAGGATGTTGACTCATAATGGTGATGTGGGGGTGGAACATGGGAGGAATGGAGGATTATTTTCTGATATATGCCAAGTTACTATCAATTTCACACAGTGATGGATCTAGATAAAACTGGAGTAGGGCAACATTTATCTTCCTTGTGACTTTTGCTACCTATCCTGTTTTTTATCCTATCTAAAACAAAATCAGTAAAAGCACTTTTACCTTTGTGCTTCTTTGCCTGTCATACACAGGCATGTTCTTACTTAGCATAAGCAATGCTTTCCAAAGGATTTTTTTTTCTCACTTTCCCCAAGCATTAGTATACCATTAAACAAACTCTTTATTTAGGGTAACAGATCGTTGTTTTTTTTTTAGAGTAAAGCTGTACCAAATGAGGGCAAATGAAATAATACAAATTATGTACAATCTGTGTTTTTTTTAAAATGCTAGGAAACTTTCTTATTTAGCAATCTTTATAGTCATACCAGAAGAGCTTTATTTTGTTTTTTAATTGAAGAATGTGGGATAGCCCCTATTAAGCATTGCCTCTTATATTTGGGTATATTGGCGCTAAATACTGGAGAAAGTATTTCTGTGTGTTCATATGTCCTGAAAAAAGAACAAACAGAGGGAATTACAAAGGCATGTGGGCTAAACAAGGGACTAAGTCATGCCTAGAGATGCACATAAACTCTTGGTCTCTTGTGGGTCTTACAAAAGACACTGCCAGAACAAGTTTTTTTCCTTATAAGGAAGCTGCTCTGAGGTTAAATAATGTACACAAAGGAAGGGAGTTTCCTGGCCAGTGGTTAAAAGTAAATATCTTAGGCAATATTAAAGGAATATGAACATGTAAGAAATGTTGCAGAAGTAAAAGGCGATTAAATTAATTTTTTTGTTTATTAGAAAATATTTCAGTAGGTTATTTTTAAGACTGTCTCTTTTATTTATAATTTAGGAATTGCAAAATGATAGTAATATAGTTTGTACCTACTTTTTTGCTATTATATATTAAATATATTATATATTAAATTCTTTTTTGCTATTATATATTAAATTCTTATATTTTTAGACCATGAGAATAATTTTATTTTTGTGAATTAGTAACTTTTTCTCTCTCTTTTTAAATCAATTGAAGACAGGAGTGAATGTACAAAACATCCTTCTGGAACTAATTTGATTTCACCAGATACGGATTATAGAGCTGGTTCTTCATTTGAACTTTCTCCATCTGATAGCTCTGATGGAACATACATGTGGGATGAAGAGGGCTTGGAACCCATTGGAAATGTCCATCCAGTTGGCAGCTACGATTCTTCTGAAATGAATAGCATTGTATGTATGAATTTATATGCCCTTTTAGAATCTTTATTTACTTACTGCAGTGAGACTTATGACACTGACTTTTTTATTTTTAGTTTACAAATTCATTTTTCTAGTTTATGAGACATGGGAAGTCATCAGTTAAAGTATGAAGAGTATATGACATTTGACTTAAATGTACTTATATATGAACATATTCATCATACATAAATATGTACATACTGTATTGGTCAAGCTAATCTAGACCATAGGTTTTCATGGAGGTAGAAGAAGGCAATAGTTTGTCCCATTTGGTGAGTGGAGGCCAGAAATGCTGCTTCATATCCTACAGTGTGCAGGAAAGAATTATCCAGCCTAAGACAGCAGTAAAGCTGCTGTTGAAAAATACTGGGTTAGGCTGTTCTGAGGTACTATTCAAGTACCACCTCTGCGTGGCTTAATAYAATAAAAGCTTTAGTTTTTATTCTTAGAAAATGTATTATAGTTCTGAGCAGCTCGATAAGCAGGTGTCTTTAGTGATTTTAGCTGTTTTGAACTTGGGGCCCATCTTTTGAGGCTCTTTCTTGTGGCAGAGGGAAGGAGTGCTAGAAAGTCTTACTCATTTGTATTTGCTTTGTCCTGCAAGTGGTACTTGGCATTTGCACTCACAGTCTATTGACCAGAACTGATTATATGGCCCCACAAAACTACTGAGAAGATAGGAAGTGTAGTTTTCCTATATGTCTGGAAGACAAGAGAACTAGGTATGGGTGAGTATTAGAAGACATACCGTGTAATTATTTATTTATATGTGTGTGTGTGTGTGTGTGTGTGTGTGTATAGTTTCAGAAACATTGTAAGTAATATGGAAAATATGCCATATGAATAAAGTGTACCTGGAGTGTTTAAAATAATTAACTGTAATTATTCAACATATAAAATATGATTTTTCGAGAAAATCAAGTGGGTAGTCTTTGTGGCTATATTATATTACAAATGGATTTTAAACAATATGATTTTCTATACTCATATAAGCCTGTGATGTGGAACAAAAAAGACATTATTACCAGAGACTTTCTAGGTTGCACAAACAGAGAGGATATGCATTTAATTTAGAAAGAGTATCTTCATCTTTTTAGAGAAAGGTTGTAAGTAAAGGTTACACTTCAGGGCCTTTTGTTCTTTTTATAATAGGATTTTTTAAAAAGAATAATTGATGTAGAGATGAACATTGTGTCCAGAAGATGGCAGCAATAAGCTACTTATTACCTAGTATTTTCAGAGCAACCCAGCTCATTGTTCCCATAACAAATGATAAAGTAGCTTTCTCTGAAACAGTTCAATTTGAGAATTAGTTCTTTAGATGCATGGATTTTCTCATTGATCAGTAGGCTTGTGTATGATGGAATGGGAACAAACAAAAGTGTTCATTCTGTGTTTTGGAATAAGAAGTCACCTGTGTCTTCTCATTTAAGGCAGAAGACAAGTCTGAGAAAGGATGGAGAATGAATAGAAAAGTTGGGAAGTGTGTTGGTCTCCTACTGTAATAGCAGATTCATCATTTTTGCTCAGAAGTTCTCTCAGGTTTCTGCTTTGAGTATCCTGTTTATTTTGTTAGATGTGTACCTATTTAGAATTGTTTTTTTGGTGAATTATTCTTTAAGTCATTTAGTCATATCTTTTCTTTCCTTGTTTATGCACTTTATCATAAGATCTTTTTTCCCTCTTAGATATTAGTATACTTTAACGCGTTTACTTATGTATTTTCCTTCCTTTTAGAGTCAGCCTTTTTGATACATGGCAAATACTTTATTATTATTATTATTAGTAGTAGTAGTAGTACTTGGAATTGAACTGGGGGTGCTTTAATAACTGAGCTACATCCTCAAGTCCCCCTCTTATTTTTGAGACAGGGTCTTGTTAAGTTGTTCAGGCCAACCTCAAACTTGCAATTTTCTTGCCTTAGCCTCTTGAGTAGTAGGGATTATRTACATGTGTCAATGTGCCTGGCAATAATAATAATGTATTATTTTAAAAATTTTAGTTTGTCCTTTTAATTAGTAAGCTTAGTCATTTGTGTTTGCATTTATTGATGTTTTGGGACTAGATTCTACCATCTTAATATTTTTTACTTAAAGAGTATTTTTTCATTTTTTTTAAAGTAGTTCAAATTAATACCTCTAACTAACATGTTCTCACTTTTCTCAGCCTGTACAATAATGTTTATTTCCAGGCCAGGTCAAGATAAGTTAATGAGTTAATGTATTACATATTTTATATATAATATTATTTTATACTGTTGTTGAGGGCATTTAGTTAGGCTGTTTCCAGTGTTTGGCTATTAGTGAACTGCACTATTGTGCATATTTTGTTGTATTTTTTATGAACATTTATTTATTTGTGTTGATAAAATATGTAGGAGAGGGATCTTTTGGCTATAGGGTATACTTATCTATTATGTACACTTACATAGGTGTTGTTAACTTTACAAAGTGATAGTACCTGTTTACAACTCCCACAGCAGTAAATGAATATTCTGTAAATTCTACTTTCTTGTCTGCATCTCTTTGTATGTTTAATATTCTGGTAGGGATATAGTAGAGTAGTGCATTGAGATTTTGTCTTTTATATTTAATGGTAAGTACCCACTGAACACTTTCACATATATTTATTGGTCCTCAGGCTATACTCTTGTGAAGTGCCTTGCATTGGGTTACTTATATTTTTTCTTATTAGATTGTAAAAAAATTATATATATTTTTATATATTTTGGATATAAATCTTATGTATATGTAAGTACATAATATATGTATGTAAAATATGTTTTGCATATATTTTCTACTCTGTAGATTGACTTTCAGATCTAATAGTGTCTTTTGATAATAAAACTCACCAATTTTAATATTGTCCAATATATATTTCTTTTCTTAATTATTGCCATGTTTTTGAACTGTTTGTGAAATCTTTGTCTACTCTAAAGTTATGAAGGTATGTACCAACAAAGACTTTGCTTATTGATTTATATTTTACTTTTGACACTTAGGTCTATAATCTAGAAATTATTTTTGTGTGAGGTCAAGATGAATTAATTAATTTTTTTGGTACTGGGGATTGAACTCAGGGGTACTTTATCACTGAACTATATCCCAGAACTTTTTTATTTTTTATTTTAAGAAAGGGTCTTGTTAATTTGCCAGGGCTGGCCATAAACTTGAAGTCTTCCTGCCTCAGACTCCTGAGTCACTGGCATTATAGGTGTGTGCTATCATACCCATCAGTTTTATTTTTTTAAAAACTCTTTTCCCTATTCTACTACAGGCTCATCTTTGTCATAAAATTAGTGACTATGTACATAAATATTTCTTGACTCTTTTAGTTCATCTATCTCTTTGTCTAGCCTTGTGTCTGTACCACATTCTTTTAATTATTGTAGCTTTAAATGTTTTGATATCTGGTAGTATAAATCTTTCATCTTTTTTGTTTTCTATTATTTCCCTATGTCTTGTTAGCCTTGCATATTTTCATTTAAATATTGGAACAAACTTGTCAATTTCTGTAGAAGACCTGGAAGGATTTTGAATACATTAAATTTATAGGTCATTTTGGAGAGACTTGATAAATTTATGATGGTTTTCCAGTTCTTATAGTATATTCCACCATTTATTTGAAATTTAGAAAAATTTCTTGCTAATATTTTGTACTTTTCTGTAAATGTTATATATATATATTTGATTTAATTTTAAGTCTTTGCTACTATGAATGACACTACTTTTAAAATTTTATTTTCAAAGTTTTTATTGTTGTAAATATTACAGATATTCTTTATGTTTGCCTATTGACCTATTTTTTTTTAAGAACTCTGGTAAATCTATTCTCTTATGGTATCTAATAATTTGCCCATGGATAGTTTAAGAATTTCTATATATATACTGTACAATCATAGCACTTGCAATATTGTCTCCGACCTCCCAATTTCAGGGGGAACATTTTGATAGTTTACTATTAAAGCTGTGGGGGCGCCACAAGGAGAGAAAATATTATCAGGTTGTGAAAGTTTCTTTCTTTCTTTCTTTTTTTTTTTTTCTTTTTTTGAGATAGGTTCTTGCTATGTTGCCCAGGTTGGTCTTGAACCCTCAGTTTCAAGTGATCTCCTCACTTTAGCCTCCTGAGTAATTGGGACCATAGGTGCATATGCCAGTGCCTAGCTTGGAAATTCTCTTTTGTTTGTTGAATTTTTATTATGAGTATATTAATGTTTACCAAATGCCTTCTTTACATCCATTAGATAATTAAATCATTTTAGCTGTTAGTGTGTTGGATTGCATTGTTTTCAGATATTAAACTACCTTTGCTTACAATCACTTGGTTGTGATATATTATCCTTTAAAATATTGTTAGTATTGATTTGCTAATATTTAATTTTTGTGTGTGTGTGTTCATAAGCAACATTGTTCTGCCTTGTAATTTTCTTCTTTTTTCTGTCATTTGATATCAAGGTACATGTTAGCTTTATTAGGAGTTAAGTTATTCCTATTTTTCTGCCTACTGAGTTTGTATATAATTGATATTAACATTTTCATTCAGTATTTAAAAGAATTCATCAGAATTCAACCTTTTGGACCTGCAATTTTCTTTGTGAGGTTTTTAAAAATAGATATTGGCCCACTCAGACTTACGTGTGTATTTTTTCTTATGTTGCTTTCTAGAATTTGTCCGTTTCATCTAGGGTATAATTTGTTTTAAAGTGATGTATAGTATTTCATTCCTAATACTGGTAAGTAGCATTTCCGCTTGTTTTCTTCATTTTAAAGAACCAAATTTGGGCTTTGCTGATTTTTGCTTGTTTTCTGTTTTATAGATTTGGTTTCACAACTTTATTTCCTTACTTCAGTTTTCTTTAATTTGTTTTTTCCTTTCTAAAATTCATGATATGCAAACTAATTTATTGATTTTAGCCTTTTCTCCACCTCTAATGTAGGCATGGATTCTCTTAAGGAGAAGGCTTTATTATATAGTATACAATACATTCAGTA